AATTAACCTCTATTGTTGCTAATGAATTTATAACCTTAACATATTTACAAATTTTATTTATATTCTAGGGACTTAAGTTTCAAATAATTTAAAAATAAATATTAGTGTAACTTGCATTTTCTATCGGTAAATAATTATTTGTGGGGGGCAATCAAAAATCATGAAAAACTTCAAATTGCTAGATAACTAAAACATATTTAGAAACATTACAATTGCTTTATATAGTAAAACTTGAATTAATTTCAATAAACTAAATATTTAGTTCCGAACGTTCAAGAAACAAAGTTCATGTCATAAAAGATAATTTTATTACTATTTTATTATTATTTTTATTAGAATGCTGATTTTGCGTTTCTTTAACATTTCAACTCAATCAGAATTGTTTGACAAATAATAGAAAAATATGTGTGTGCATGTGAGCTAATTTAGATCTTTTATTAACGTTTTGAAGTAACTAACTGCACCGATTTGGCCACTTATTCGTTGAGACCGATATTTAACTTGCCTTAGGTTTTTTCTAAAAATTTGGATTTGCAAATTTTATGTTTTGTTATCTAAAAACAAATTTTAACAAATAAATTCATAAAAAAAAAATTATTAAGCAATATGTGTGTGCGTGTATGCATGTGAGCTAAAATTAAATTTATATCTTTTATTAACGTTTTGAAGTAACTAACTGCACCGATTTGGCCACTTATTTATTGTGACCGATATTTAACTTTCCGTAGGTTTTTCTAAAAATTTGGATTTGCTAATTTTATATTTTGTTATATTTAAGAAAAAATTCAACAAATAATTTTTATTAAAAATAATTTATATTTTTACAGTTAAATCTGGAAGCATTCGACAAGATCAAATTATTGGAACACGAAGCCAGAGCCGGATTTATCAAGACGAGGCATATTATTGACCACGATAATGTAAAATACAAACAAAATTTAATTCCTTGCTCCTAAATACCTTCAATTTATAATTTTTTTCAATTTTTAGGGTATCATTGCCTACAAGGACCTCCATGAGGGTTCTTGTTACATAGAACAAATGTTGAGCGAAATGGAAGCCCAGACATCCCTTGATACCAGAACTTTATATGTAGCTGGAGAACCCCTTAACAAAATACAGGTGATAATATATATATATATATATATATATATATATATATATATATATATACTAGATGCAAGTGGCATTTTGCCTCATGTGTAAATCATCCTAATAACTAACAGTTAATACTTGTATCATTTTAAATTTGGGTCGTTCATAATACTCACAACACTGTATTATATACAGTAGTAGTTTGTGTAATCAGAATCAGAACTCGGTAATTATGGAAATAAATCAAATATGATGATAAAATCGCGACAACTGGACGAACATACATAATAATGATCTTCAATTTCGTTTAAGATAGATATTAATTAGGTTATGAGATGTACAATGTTTGATTAGTAATAATTCATAGGGCTGGGAATTAGAATTAGATCGATGTAATATATTTGATGTTCAATAGAAATAGTAGATTCAAAACGTTTTTTTTTTTCATTCACTAATATAAAAAATAAAACATCACCTATTGCTATAAAATTTATATACATTTTAATGCTGTTTGTTGTTTTAGACAGTTATTAAAAAAAATTTGCTATTCCCAGGATAACATTTTTTCCAAATTTTTTACCAAAAATTTCGATTTGCTAATTTTACGTTTTTTGGACATTTTGACCAATTAGAAAAAAATGTGTGTACATGTGTGTATGCAAGCTAAAATTAGATCTGTTATTAACGTTTTCTAAGTAACTAACTGCACCGAAATGGCCACTTTTATTTATCGAGACCGATATGAAACCTTGCGTCAATGTTTTTTTTTCAACTTTAGGATACAATAGTTTTTTTCCAAAAATTTCAATTTGTTAATTTAAGTAACTAACTGTAAGTTTAAATAACTAACTACTGCACCGATTTGCCACTTCTATTTATTAAGACCGATATGAAACCATGTGTCAAGGTTTTTTTTTCAATTTTCCTTAGGATAAGATAGTTTTTTCCAAAATTTTCGATTTGCTAATTTTATGTTTCTTTGGCGTTTCAACTCGATCTGAATCGTTTGACAAATTATAAAAAGTATATGTGTGCATGTGAGCTAAATTTGGATCTTTCATTAAGGTTTTCTATGTAACTAACTACTGCACCGATTTGGCCACTTATTTGTTGAGACCGATACGAAGCCATGTGTCAATGTTTTTTTTTTACTTTTCGTGGGATAAAATAGTTTTTTCCAAAAAATTTGATTTGCTAATTTTACGTTTCCTTGACGTTTCAACTCGATCTAAATCGTTTGACAAATTACAGGAACTATGTGTGTGCATGTGAGTTAAATTTGAATCTTTTATTAACGTTTTCTAAGCAACTAACTACTGCACCGATTTGGCCTCCACTTGATTATTAAGCCAGTGTCATTTTATTTTATAACTTTCCGTAAGATATATAAAGTGTTTTCCAAAAATTTCGATTTGCCAATTATATGTTTCTTTAGCGTTTCAACTAAATTTGAATCGTTTGACTAAATATGAAAAGAATGTGTGTGCGTGTAAGCTAAATTTAGATCTTTTTCTAAATAACTAATTGCACCGATTTGGCCACTTTCATTTATTGAGGCCGATATGAAGCCATTTGGAAAGAAATAAATGTGAGGAATCTAGATAATATTTTGACATTTGTTTATACAAAAGGACGTCCTGAAATCGATAAAAAAAAGACTGAAAATACAAAATCTTTTGACTATTATCACAGATGTTTCAGGCATTTAATCAAAAATGATTTTTTACCTATAGAACACCCAAAAATATTATACCCAAAAGTTTAAAGAATTTAAATGATAATTCAATCTAAATAAAAACCAGATGACGTCTAAAAACTATTTTTTGTAATTTTTGTAAATTATCGAAATATTTCAATTGCATGTTAATAATCGTTTTAATACATTCATATCACAATAAATTTTCAAAATATCTAAAAATATTAAGAAATTTTTTTATTTTCAATATCATTTTTTTTCCTGCAGAGTTACTTGTCCATTTCAGGACAGATGTAAAAATTTCCAAATACAAAAAAAGTATGAGTTTTCATTTCAGAAGTAAGTACCATTTGACAATTATTAAAAAATAATTCCCATATTTGATTAAATAGGGTTTAAATCATTAATTCTATGTGTCTTATTTATTACATTTTTTACGTTGTTTGATCTTTCACATTTTTGCTAACTAGAAACCTAATTTATACGAGTAAAAAAATAACGTAAACTGAAATATTAGGTCAAGTTTGTCTTGTAAAAAATTACGTTCAAAGGGCTACTGATAACACGAAATACCAACGAATGCGTCAATGTTATTATAATTGTGAAAACTCCACAGTCACCAAAAAATACATTGAAGTTCATTTCAATGCATTTCGCAAGTTCCAACATTAATTTTTAATTTGGAGAATGATGCATTTATGGTAACAAAATGTGGACTAAAACCTGGAAATTAATTAGCAGTAATTTTTTGAGAATAGTAACTGATAAAAAACACGATATTACTGTATAACGATAATTGAAATTATCGTCAGAACGGCGGCAACCCCAAGTGACTATAGTAAAAAACAGTAGTAGTAAGATATCGCTTAAAAAATGAAAAAAAAAAAATTATAATAATCCATCAGATAAATTATTAACTACATCATTGGAATGTTAACTAACAAATTTTTTCTAGTTAAAAGAAATAGCAGGTTCAAGAATCGTCGACTTCTGCCTCGGTTTCGAAACTTATTTGTTGCAAGAAGAAAAACCAACTTTCGGTATTGAAAATGCTGATCAACACGCCAGGTAAAATTCTCTTGTGACCATTTAGGCCAAAACATTATATCAATTATGAATTTTAGTGATAAAGAAGATTTAGTGGGAAACACTAATGCTTTAACAAAATTAGAAGGCAGGACTGATACACAAAATTCTGCATTGAAAACTAATGCTCCAATCAGACAGAAGAGAGAAGCTGATGCACAAAGTGGACGTCGAGGAAGGTAAATAGAATACTAGTTTATTGTTGATATTTGAGATACACTCCGATGATGATTTTTTCCCATGGGCAAACAATAGTAAGTCCGTTTTTACTATTTTTTCCCTTACCCTTACATCATTACAATTTCTTCAATATTTTCCATAAAATCAGTTCGATATACACAAAATGATTCATAGAAATTAGACTAGCCGTTTAGCAGGAGAGAATATATAAGAATAAATAAGAAAATCTTACCTTAAGTGTGGTTCCAAAACACGTTCATTTTTTGCTTTCCACAGATTTCGTGGCCAAACTCAAGCCCAATATTTAAATTTCGGCGGTGCTGGTTCTCCTGATAAAGATGGTAAAGCAGAAGCCGAAGCACTGGATGGCGGAGGCAGCAGGGCAGTTGTCTGTAAGATAAAACATACATATAACATATATCAATACAAAAAAAAAATATATATACATATATATATATATATATATATATATATATATATATATATATAGAGGATTTTATATATATATATATATATATATATATATATATATATATAAATAAGAGCCACAGATTTCAAATATACGAATTGCTAAAATTAGCCAAATTGTATTTCCTCAATAGCTGGAAGTAATGGCATGGGACAAGCTCAAAGTCAATCTAGTGCGGGAAGCTGCGCAGACTGTGTTGGTACGATGGCTACTACAGAGGTTACCCTGGAGCATATCCAGGTATTTGCAATATTATATAAAACTTTATTTTATTCATCTACTTTATATTTTAACAAAATAAAATATGAAAGTTGTTTAGTTATAAAAATTATTTCATGTCATATGTAGGACTACCAGGCACGGAAGTACTAGCGCAATATGGCAGACCAGGCCATGCAGCACCACCAGGAGTGAGTGTCGATAAAGATACTAGGCCAGACCGGGACTACCGGATCGTCTAACAGGTCCAGATGGATGGCAACCGCCCACTACGTTTGTTCCAGGACGTCCTTCCGGAACCGCGCCAGGAACGCCATTACGTCCTGGTCAAGTACCCACCCAGGACAAGTACCCCGTCAACCCGGTGCGTTATTACCTGGACAAGTTAGTGGGCAACCTGGCATTACAAAACCGCCTGGTCAGATACCAGGGCAGCCTGGTTGGCAATATCCCGGACAAGCAGGAATACAATTACCAGGGCAAGTAGGAGCTCAACCCGGAGCTCAATATCCAGGGCAGGTGGGAGGTGTAGGCCCACCAGGTCAACAATTTGCTGGACAACCTGGTGCACAGTATCCAGGTCAAGCGGGAGCACAATATCCAGGCCAAGTACCCGGTCAAGCAGGAGCGCAATATCCAGGCCAAGTTCCCGGTCAACCAGGTGCACAATATCCAGGCCAAGTACCCGGCCAAGCAGGAGCACAATATTCAGGACAAGTTTCCGGTCAAGCCGGAGCTCAGTATCCTGGACAAGTACCCGGTCAAGCCGGAGCTCAGTATCCTGGGCAAGTTCCCGGTCAAGCCGGAGCACAATATCCAGGCCAGGTACCCGGTCAAGCAGGAGCACAATATCCAGGACATGTTCCCGGTCAAGCAGGAGCGCAATACCCAGGACAAGTTCCCGGTCAAGCAGGAGCGCAATACCCAGGACAGTTCCGGTCAAGCAGGAGCGCAATACCCAGGACAAGTTCCCGGTCAAGCTGGAGCACAATATCCAGGCCAAGTACCGGTCAAGCAGGGGCACAATATCCAGGCAAGTACCACGGTCAAGCAGGAGCACAATATCCAGGCCAAGTCCCCGGTCAAGCCGGAGCTCAGTATCCTGGGCAAGTACCCGGTCAAGCAGGGTCACAATATCCAGGCCAAGTACCCGGTCAAGCAGAAACAAAATATCCAGGCCAAGTACCCGGCCAAGCTGGAGCACAATATCCAGGCCAAGTACCCGGTCAAGCAGGGGCACAATATCCAGGCCAAGTACCCGGTCAAGCAGGAGCACAATATCCAGGCCAAGTCCCCGGTCAAGCCGGAGCTCAGTATCCTGGGCAAGTACCCGGTCAAGCAGGAGCACAATATCCAGGCCAAGTACCCGGTCAAGCAGAAACAAAATATCCAGGCCAAGAACCCGGCCAAGCTGGAGCACAATATCCAGGCCAAGTACCCGGCCAAGCTGGAGCACAATATCCAGGCCAAGTTTCCGGCCAAGCCGGAGCTCAGTATCCTGGGCAATTACCCGGTCAAGCAGGGGCACAATATTCAGGCCAAGTACCCGGTCAAGCAGAAGCACGATATCCAGGCCAAGTACCCGGTCAAGCAGGAACACAATATCCAGGCCAAGTACCCGGCCAAGGCTGGAGCACAATATCAGGTCAAGTACCCGGCCAAGCTGGAGCACAATATCCAGGTCAAGTACCCGGTCAAGCAGGAGCACAATATCCAGGCCAAGCGGAAGCTCAGTATCCTGGGCAAGTACCCGGTCAAGCAGGGCACAATCCAGGACAAGTACCCGGTCAAGCAGGAGCACGATATCCAGGCCAAGTACC